TTATGATCTCCTACCAGGTAGTAACGGCTACATCCATCAATTTACAGGAATTTTTATCACATTATCATTGATCTTGAGAGATGAGTATTTGTTATATTAAAATTTACAAAAGTTGAATTTATATATAAGGTAGAAAAGTTGGTGAAAAATAAAACCTATTTTTCGTTGTAAACTGTTGAACTTTTTTCAATAATTTATGATATTGCCAGAAATACAGGCACACTACTCCAAAGCAAAATACATATTTTCTGACAAACCTCGAATATGACTGAAAGATTTTGTTTATTTATGACTTCATTTTAGTTCATGAAAAGTTCTTAACGAACTTTTCATGAAGAATACCTTTTCTACTGAAATTCATAACAAAAAAGTTTTCCATATGGTTTCAACTCAATGAAACATACTGTATACTGCTAACGTTACTATTAATGAATTACAAATATTATTTACAATAAGAATAAAATGCGCTGTTTGAGTTCATAGAATTCATAACGTTGTATATAGAACTACATAAGTTAAATCTAATAAATTTCTTATCTTTGAGAAAAGATTGCGATTTTATATTTAAGTAACACTTCATTGTAAGTTTACAGAATCGTAATCCATGTTTCCTTATACAATATTTTCCTCAGACGTGTTTATATAATTAAATTCAACCTAATTAGTGCTTTATATAATATATCAATTCAAATCACATGACTTTCTACCGAATTATTGATGTATAATTTTACCAGATTTGAGCTATACCTAAACTAGTTGAAATATTTAGGTATTATAAAATAAACTACTTTCTTAATGACTAAAAAAGTTTTACCAAATATATGATGGAATTGGCCGATACTTGATGAAAATCCATAACTAACTTATTCAAAAAATCCTTTATTGTGAGATTTTCCATAAATGAAACTGCAGTAACGAATGTTACTACATCTATTAATTAATGGAAACAGGTTATCACAGTCTGGCCAATATTTTGACCAGACTGTGATACAAAAACCGTAAGTCAATTTGTTTGTTTGAAAGTGGTTGACAAGTCAATTTGTATTTTGTGATGTATCCAATCTATCATTGTTATACTTTAAATCTCTAATTATAAGTATTTATTGTTTCATTAAATTGAACTGAAAAGTATCTAATAAATTTGCCTAAATTATTATGTCCAGAAAGCCACGCCCAAAACTTTCAACAAGTGATCTTATTGGTGGGTTCACCAAAGTATGTCAATGTCCTATAATGCCTATTATTGTTTCTTGAAGTGAATCATCCTGGTAAATGGCTTGTTATCGCAATTTTTTTGCAAAGAAAAGTCGATAATATCTACCTTGTAACTGATGTTTACAGCATCTTGTTTGATAAAAATCAGTTCTTTCTGATAGTGGAATATTCAATAGTTTGTGAAGCAATCTATTGAATGCTGCTACTTTATTTTGATAAGGATTTGTTGAGGAATTAATATGATAAAAGTCTCAATAAGATGGTTTTTGGAAATGGCAAATTCATTATTATTAATGTTGGTAATAGTCGTGTCTGGAAAATTTACTGATTATTTATTTCCATATCAGTGGTGAGTTTAATTTATGGGTGAATGAAATTAACAAATTCTATAAACTTGTAAAACTGCCTACCTGTACCAGAGTGCGATTTTTATGACGAAACAATATATTTTCGAAATATCTGATTCGTCAAACTTAATTTTGCAGTATGTAAATTTAATTTTCTGTCAAATTTCTTACATTTTAACATCATTGGCAGGACTCATAAGATTTTTCAAGTCAATTCAAACATTTTAACTCTTTTTGAACAATAATTGTCCCGCAGAAAACCCCGTCCAGTATACAAAAATCCACTGCACAGCTTGCAACGTCCACTTGGGCAGCGCCTTAA